ACGGGCTCGTAACCTTACGTAAGATTACGAAGCGTAGGGTTTACGTAATACTTCGCATTATTAAATTTACTGATGTATATGCATATTTTTCTTTTCTTTATACGCATTGTTTAACATCAGCTGTAAATGTATCTGATGCTCTAAGCTGATTAAGAATATGTAAATCAGCTATTAATAATTCATGATTACTATTACTATCTTATTGGAATTGTGTTTCTATTTCCATACACTCATATTGCAAATTATTTTGATCATCTCTATCTTGAATATCTTTTAGATACCATCGCTTTGCAATAAGATGTATGTTAAATTTTGCGACCTTAGAATTCATCATCACATGGAAAAAATGCGAACATACAAGTCTGCAATTAATTATAGTCAAACACGTATATAAATGACCAATATCTATCAGTAAAATAACATAATGTTTATATGATTTGGTAAGACTGGTAAGTTCCCAATTTCTATGATATCGGATAACTGGATTCTTTCCAATAAGAAAAAAATAGATGTTTGCAGCCTATCTAATTGATCTTCAAAAAATTTATCACCATAGTTGTGTTGATCGTTATTCTAATGAAAAATTTGTAAGTGTCAATCTTCTAATTTTTTAATCCCGTCTTCAACATCTTTTTCGCTTTTAGTATAACTTACCTTTACAATATCGATTGCTTCTTTCAAAATAATTTTAGCATAGTATAATAAAGACCTGAGAATTTGTTAATATTAGACTGATAGGATATGTGGAATTAGATAACGTTTTATTAATTTATTAATATTAAAAATATGGAATCGATAATTGATGGTGCCCGGTTGGTTAAAAAACTATGAAGATATATATTATATTGAGCCTATTTTGCTTCAACGTCTAATAATATTTGTATTTGATCATAAAGTTACATAGCAAAAATAAACTATTAGCACCTTCTTTAATCAAACGATTCATAACTTCGACCTTTTGTGTGTTTTGAATACTAGCCGTAAAGTCTTTGAATTGATAATACCTGACCATGACCGATAATAAGTATTTAAAGTTCTATTAAGATAATCTTGAGCCAAAGAATACTTTTTGATCAATCGTGTTTAACGATGATAAAAATCATTCTCAAATAAACTGTTTTGAGCATGTAAAAAATCTTTATAAAAAGATTTGTAATCTTGTCTTAATTTGCTTGCCAAATTTTTTCGTAGGTTTTCTTGTATGTGGAAAATACAAAGAAAGTGATACATCTTTAATTCCACTGCCTTTATTAAAGCAGAATCAGAATCTAAAAATAAACAAGTAGGTAAAATATGATTAGTTGCATGAAGAACACAGTCAAGAAACTATTCATAGCTTTCAACTGTTTCGTCTTCTGACAAACATTAAGCAACAAGATGACTTTTGGTGTTATTATTTACAACAATTAGCATTGTTAAATACATGTCAAATCAGTTAGTTTGATACATATTATCCGTTTATATCATATTATTATAGCATATAAGGTATTGATTCTGACTAGGTGACATCCAAAACAGACTTACAAGTCAGTTATCAAAAGGATCAATTCTTGTGTGAATGATCCATCCAGGTTCTTGATCTTTTAAATTAAGTAATGTATTGATCATATTTTGTGCATCTTCATATCAGTTAGTAAATAGAGCTTTAAACCTTTGAATTGCATTGTGAAGATCCCTTTTATAAATATATTAATTCAGAAAACTTGCAACCAATAAGGAATATATTTGTTTTGAACTCATATTTCCTTTGGTAATATAGAATTTGATCCTTTCCATTATATCATTTGAAAGACAATGGTACTTAGAAGCATATAAATATGTGTCAAGTATCATAAGATGATTATGTTGTCCAATAATGCCATTAACTCTTATTTCTGATGATGTCTTCAGATTTGTAATATTAATGTGCCATGGGCACATTATTTTTCTGAATAGGCACTGCCGTTGGTGATTTATATCAATCATCTGATTAGAAATTGATTTATCAGAAAAACTACATTCAAATATACAATGTCAAACTATCCCATTATTATCAAGCTTAACGCACTTCTGACGTATAGAAAATCCTGCCATTTTTGCATATAGATTGAGCTTTATATTTACCTCATCCTATGAAAAAAAAGTATCACCAACATTAATTTGTACTTCATTTTTAATTTCTTTTCTAAAAGTATCAGATTCTCTGACAAGAACAACAGAACCTCTGGTATCAAAATCATCCTCAAAAGCAACTGAACCTTCAGCAAATGTAGCATTAGAATCCTTTGCAAAAGATATAAAACCTTCAGCAAAGGTAACAGGAGTCACTAGAATTCCAATGAAGGCAACTGAACCTTCCGTAAAAGCAGCAGACTCTTTTTTGCTTAAATAAGTTTGATTATCTTCGGTAAAAAAAAACTATAAATCATAAACTTCTATACAAAAGTCATAAGAAACAGCAAGACTTATGAAAGTTTACATTTACCATCCATAGTGGTAAAAGACGTAAATTAAAGATAAAGGACAAGGAAAAAAAAGGCTTAAAATTTAGAAATCCACATCAAAGCAACTTTCTAAAGAAGTTCCTTTTTCTTAAATTAGTTTTTTCATTATCATTAATACAAAAAGAATGTATATTAAATTTGCAAAAGAAAGTAAGCGAAAGAGCAGCAAATATGTAACACTAGCAAATATGTAATACTTTTTTTTATTTGTCTATTATTGTATCACATGTCATATATGTGACATCACATAAATATTATTATCATGTGATACCAGTGATGATCACCTCCGGTGATTTTAAGTAAATACCTTATTTATTTATCTATATTTAGGATGATTTTAGGTAATTTTAAGAGAAAATAGATCATATTTAATTATTTAATTATTTTATTTTTAATAGGAAATTAATCAGTAGATTTTAGTGATATTTTATTATATTTTTACAAATTTATATTAGGTTTTTATTATTAATAAAATTTTAATATTTAATAAAGGTATTTACTTAAAATCACCGGGGGTGATCATCACCAATATCACGTGACAATAATATTTATGTGATGTCACGTGTATGACACGTGATACAATAATAGATAAATAAAAAAAAGTGTTACATATTTGCTAGTGTTACATATTTGCTGCTCTTTTGCTCACTTTTCTTTTGCAAATTTAATATACATTCTTTTTATATTAATGATAACGAAAAAACCAATTTAAGAAGAAGGAACTTCTTTAGAAAGTTGCTTTGATATGGATTTCTAAATTTTAAACCTTTTTTTTCCTTGTCCTTTATCTTTAATTTACATCTTTTACCACTATGGATGGTAAATGTAAACTCTCATAAGTCTTGCTGTTTCTTATGACTTTTGTATAAAAGTTTATGATTTATGGTTTTTTTTTACCGAAGACAATCAAACTTATTTAAGTAAAAAAAAGAGTTTGCTGCTTTTACGAATGATTCTGTTGCCTTTGTTGAAAATTCTAGTGGCTCTGTTGCTTTTGCTGAAGGTTCTATATCCTTTGCAAAAGATTCTAATACTATATTTGCTGAAGGTTCAGTTGCTTTTGAGGATGATTCTGATACCAGAGGTTCCGTTGTTCTTATCAGAGAATCTGATACTTCTAGAAAAGAAATTGAAAATGAAATACAAATTAATGTTAGTGATACTTTTTCTTCATGGGATGAAGTAGACATAAAGCTCAATCTATATGCAAAAATAGCAGGATTTTCTATACGTTGAAAGCGTATTGAGCTTGATAATGATGGAATAGTTCAACATCATATATTTGAATGCAGTTTTTCTAGTAAACCAATTTCTAATCAGGTGATTGATATAAATCACCAACAGCAGTATCCATCCAGAAAAATAATGTGCCTATAGCACATTAATATTACAAATCTGAAGTCATCATCAGAAATAAGAGTTAATAACATCATTGGACAACATAATTATTTTATGATACCTGACACATATTTATATGCTTCTAAGTACTATTGTCTTTTAGATGATATAATAGAAAGGATCAAATTCTATGTTACCAAAGGAAATATGAATTTAAAACAAATATATCCCTTATTGGTTGCAAGTTTTCTGGATCAATATATTCATAAAAGGGATCTTCACAATGCAATTCAAAGGTTTAAAACCCTATTTACTAACTGACATAGAGATGCATAAAATATGATCAATATGTTACTTAATTTAAAAGATCAAGAACCTGAATGGATCATTTACACAAGAATTGATCCTTTTGATAACTGACTTATAAGTCTGTTTTGGATGTCTCCTAATCAGAATCAATGCTTTATACACTATAATAATGTAGTATAAATGAATAATACATGTCAAACTAACTGGTTTGACATGTATTTAATAATGCTAATTATTATGAATAATAATACCAAAAGTCGTCTTATTGCTCAATGTTTGTCAGAAGACGAAACAGTTGAAAGCTATAAATGGTTCCTTAACTGTGTTCTTTATGCAACTAATCATATTTTACCTACTTGTTTATTTTTGGATTCTGATCCTGCTTTAATAAAGGCAGTAGCATCGAAGATGTACCACTTTCTTTGTATTTTCTACATATAAGAAAACCTACGAAAAAATTTGGCAAGCAAGTTAGAACAAGATTACAAATCTTTTTATAAAGATTTTTTATATGCTCGAAATAGTTTATTTGAAGATGATTTTTATCATCGTTGAATATGATTGATTGAAAAGTATCCTTTAGCTCAAGATTATTTTAATAAAACTTTAAATACTTCTTATCAGTCATGGACCAGGTGTTATCAATTCAAAGACTTTACGGCTGGTATTCAAAGCACATAAAGAGTCAAAGTTATGAACCGTTTAATTAAAAAAGGTACTAATAATTCATCTTCGCTATATAACTTATATGATCAAACACAAAAATTATTAGACAATGAAGCAAAATAGGCTCAGTATAATACATATCTTCATAGTCTTCAAACCAACCAGGCACCATCAATTATCGATCCCATATTTTCCAATATTAATAAATTAATGAAACATTATCTAACTCCGCATATCCTATCAGTATAACATCAACAAATTCTCAGATCTTTATTATATCGTGCTAAAATTGTTTTGAAAGAAGTAATCGATATTGCAAAGGTAAGTTATATTAAAAGCGAAAAAGATGTTGGGGATGGGATTAAAAAATTAAAAGATAGGAAAACTTGACATTTACAAATTTTTCATTAGGATAACGATCAACACAACTATAGCAATGGATTCCTCAAAGATCAATTAGATAGACCGCAAACATCCATTTTTTTTCTATTGGAAAGAATTCAGTTATCTGATATCATAGAAATTTGGGAACTTACTGGTCTTACTAAATCATATAAGCATTATGTTATTTTACTGATAGATAGTGATCATTTATACATGTGTTTGACTATAATTAATCATGAACTTGTATATTCGTATTTTTTCCATATGATGATGAATTCTAAGGTCGCAAAATTTAACATACATCTTATTGCAAAGTGATGGTATCTAAAAGATATTCAAGATAGAGATGATCAAAATAATTTGCAATATGAGTGTATGGAAATAAAAACACAATTCCAATAAGATAATAATAGTAATCACAAATTATTAGTAGCTGATTTACATATTCTTAATCAGCTTAAAGCATTAGATATATTTATAGCTGATGTTAAACAACGCATACAAAGAAAAGAAAAATATACATATAGGTTTGGAAAGATAAAAAAAGCTCTTAATTTGACGCTAGATTTAGGTTGTAAAACTGAATTTATTAATATGATTAATGGTTTCATTAATCATAAGAAAAATGATATTGATGATACGAATAATAAAAATAAAGAAAATTCGAGCATATCTGATCCTTTAGTTCGAAAATAATGTAAACATCTACCACATAAATGTATCATATTAGTATTAGAAAATGCACACTATAGCACTAAAATTAGTGCTCTTAATTCTCCTGATCCTAATTTACAATCTTCATCAAGAATTTCTTTACACACCTATGATGTTAGCAATCATAGATAAGATAATGATTATATGATACTTGATGATATAGGCGAAAATACAAGCAAACAAAAATATATATGCAAAGTTTGTGGGAAATCTGATCATAATGCTAGAAATAAAGCAAAATGTGTCAAATAGGATCAGTAATAATAATGTATTGCTTTAAATAAAAATTTGATATATATATATTTTTTTTTAATAAAATATATTGAAATACGTAATTTAGTATGATCACGTGACTTAATATAGTCATGTGATATTGGTGATGATCACCCCTAATTATGGTTAATAAAATTCTATTATTATTATTTCATTTATATATTATTGACTAATGTTTAAATATTACTTATTATATTTCTTTTTTATGTTTTATATTATCGTTATATTAAATAGTATTTTTATTATTATGAAATATTTGTATTTTATTATTATTATTATATTTTATTTAAAGTAATTTTAATTTATAAATTAATAAATTTATAAATTATAAATTTAATAATATTACGAGAAATTAATTATATAAAATTATATAAAAATTACATATATAAATTATATATAAAATATATTGATAAAACATATATAATATACTTAATTTATATATTTTTATGTATTCATAATTCTGTTTTTTTTCTTATCTTTATATGTAATAATTATGTATATATTAAATGTTATTTTCGTATACAATTTTGTATACAAATTTCTTATAGGATCTGATTATACTATTAAGAAACTTGATCTCATCTCAAGGTCTATATAATAGAACTAGGCTGAATTGTCATACTTTTCAAAATAAAGTAATTGATGCTAAAATTATTATAAACTCTCATATTAAAAGTCATATTTTTATCTCTTTAATGATACTAAGTCCTTCTAAATCACTGTTAGTTTTCAATATTATCACTGGGTTCATTTTTATTTATTTAATGTCTAAGTTAAGCGATTATGACAGTTAATTCTAGGATTTTCTCTAAGACTTACAGGTATCTGTTATACTTGAATCAACTCAGCAATTTATTATGTCTTAGAATTTAAGATATATTTAATCGAACTCAATAGCAAGTTAGTATAAAGTATCACAATAATCTTAAGTGAAGGATAACGTTAAAGGAAAAAGTAGTTTGTATAGATTTAAATTGATTTCTTTATTTATAACTTGAAACTCATAAGTAACTTACAAATGAATTTATAAACTTACAACTGAGTTAATTTACAACTTAAGCAAAGAACTATTCTATTTATACAAAATTAATTTGCTATAGCTAACTACTTGTTATGCTATAAATTAACTAAATATAAATATATATTTCAATAAAAATATACTTAAATATAATAAAATAATAAAAATTATAAAAGTAATAAAAAGAAATAAAATAAGTTACAGACGTTAAAGAAATTGCATACAAAATAGAATAAATAGAATAAACAGACTATACAGAAAATACAGAAGAAACAGGTGAATCAAGTGAATTTTATTAATCCTTTAAATTAATAAATTAGCCTGATTTTCCAATACAATACATCGATCAAGATCTTCCTTAATATGATTTACATAAAATTAAATCTAATGACTTTGTAAATCATTTTTCTAGAGCAAATTTTTAATGCTTACAATGTATATAACTTTTTCTATAACTATTAACAAATTTTAGAGTTAAACCTTAAATCATGTGAACTTTATTTGCCATAATTTGTTTTATTTCATAATCAACTATATATTACTTTGTTAAGAATTACTTCTTATCAAAATATAAAAGTTCTTATAAGTAATATTATGAGAATTTCTAGTACTATCAGATAAGAAATATGTATATAAAGAAGTTTTGCAAAATTTTTTTTACAAAAAATTCAATAAATATTTTATTTGTAAAGAGAAAATTCATATATATATTATAAAAAAGAGAAGTCTGTATATGTATTTGTACAAAATTAATAAACTATTTTTTTAACAAATTTATTTAAGATTTGTATAACTTTAATATCATTTATTATATTACCTGTGATCTAATCCAATACGAAACAATAGACTACAGCTAGTCTATATATAAAATATATTTCAAAAAAACTCTTTTTTTAATCAGCAATTATTTTATAAATAAAATTTATATTTAATAAAAAAAAAATAGATTAAATTAAATAAATTTATATTATATTGTCTAAATTATATTATTAATAAAAATTGATTTATTGCTATATATAGTAATAATTGATATTAATAAGTTTATTATTTTATTTTTAAGCATTTTATAAGCTATAAATCATATGATGAGAAATCTTCAAAAATTTTATTATCAGCTTTATTAAAATATGAATTTGTGTAAATTTTGATCTTTAAAAATATAAAAAAAAATTTTACCTAAGTTATTTTTAAAGTTTAAATTTTTAATTATGAATAAATATAAATATAATCATAATTTACAATTAGTTCAAAAAGTTAATAAAAATTTTATCAGTTATAAAATAAAATTTATCATTTTATATATGATGAAAAATAGATTTTTCCATTTTCTGAATTGTAATAGAATAATTAGATTATCAAAAAATTATTGCATGTTATAATAAAGTTTTAATAACTTCATAACTTAATACTTAAATAATAAATTTACAAAATTTTTATATAAATCTAATTTATTAATTCAAATTATTTATAATTCTTTATATTTAGGATTAAATATTAATAAAAGGTATACAAAGAGTATATACTATATATAAAAATAGTTAATAAAAAAAAAAATCTACAAATTTTGAGTAATTTTAATTATTAAGCTAGTTTTGTTCACATAATTATGATCAGTAGAATAAACTAATAAAAAATTTTTAATTAAAAAATAGATTTTTCCCTTTTTTACTAATTGTTATTCATATAATAACATATTAGAATATATTTATTAAAATTAGTTACTTTAGTTGAATTATGAGAATAATTAGTTTATTATGAATTAAAAGATAAGAATTATCACTTTCCGCTAAAAAATATGTATTTCAACTATTTCTTTAAAATTCTATTTAACTATTATTAAAATACTAATATAAACTTACTATATACATATTAAATATTCCTTAAATTTATGAAATTAATATGCTCAATCTTTTATTTAAATAATGATATACATAATATATATTTGAACAAAATCATAATTATTAAATATAAAAATCAAAGAAGTTATTATCTAGTTTATAATAAATAACTCCTTGATTTCTGTAATACATTAACATAAAAATTGATATTTAAAATGAGAATTGTAATATAATCTGATTTGCATTTCATTATCTTCAAAAGTATGAAATAACTTCTTTCTACTCAGATACAATTTAAGAATTTCTAATATTTATAATATCAAATAATCATAATTTTTTATAAATATTGAATTAAATAATATTAGATTTTAAAAAAATCATATGTGAAGTTTAAATTACCTAATGTTATTTAAGTTTTAGATTTATAGAATATACTTTTACTTTTAAGCTTTCTATTTTATTTTACCTTTAAAAATACTTCTATAAATAAAAATTCGTAAATTTTTTAATAGAAAAATATAAGATTAATGCTAAAAGTATAAATTATAAACTAGTAGATTATTATTTTTTTTATTTTATTATTATTATTATTATTTTTAGAATAAAAAATTCCATAATTTTTAAAAAAAAGTAATTAAAAATTATTTTAATAACAGAATGATTAATAAAATAAATTATGTTAAATTGCTATTTTAACTTATTCATTAAAACTTAATTATATTTATTAGTATATGAGATTGATTTTATAATATTTATGTATTATACTGTAATATGATGACTATTAGATATGCTAAGTCATAAAATCTATTCTCATATTTATACTTGTTTAGTCTAAAATTTTAACATCTGTTACAAAACTTTAAAAATAAAAATAATCTATAGATTTATAAGCAAATAAACTATAAGATTAAATAAAATGAATAAGAGAAATAAAAATATACATAAATGATAATAACAACCCATTTACTTATGACTGATTAATCTTATATTTGAAAATTTAAAGAATCAATATAAATTGTAGGTATGTAAGCAAAAAAGTAATATAATGAAGATTAAATAAAATGAATGAAATAAATAAAAAATTGATTATAAAATAATATAAATAATATAATAAAATAAATAAATATATTTGAACAATAAACTGATATAAATACTTATTGCTATTATATCATTAAAGAATTAAAATAAATTTTAAAATATACCTACTAATTCTAATATTTTTTTTATTAAAGTTAAATAAGAGAATAGATATAATATTTTATTTCTAACTAACAAATTTAAATTTAATATTATTTGATGATTCATTTAATTAAAATTTAAATTTTTTTTTTAGAATCAGAAATTTAAAGCAATATCAATAACTTTAAGAATAATTAATAAAAAACTTTGTTATTAAGAATAAATTTAATGAATTTCATAATAAAAAAAACCTTTTAAGCCTTTTTTTTAAAATATTATTAGTTGTTATTGAAATTTATTGTATATAATCATTCAAATTTAAAAATATAATAAGAGTCTTTTTACTAATATAAAATTGTTTATGAAAATTTACATATTATTCGTACTTATTCATATTAAAAATTCTTAAAAATACTTACTGAAATTAACCTTATTTATATATATTTATTTATAAACAATAATAGGTTATTATGAAAGAAATTTATAAAATACTTTTAAAACATATCTAAAGTTTAAATTTATTCACATTTTATGAAATTTCTTTGAATTTAATATTATAACAACATTTTAGATTTAGGATAATTTATATAATCTAGTTGATATATTATCTATTTTATAGTTTTTAATTTTTGACTATTTATTTGAATAAAAAAATATAATAGATACATTTTATTATTATATATTAATTAAAGTTTATTATTTATCTGATTTAATAGACTTGATATTAAAATAATAAATTCAAAAAAGATATAACTAATACTTTCATTGAATTTTGATATTATAAGAGAGCAATCTTATATCAACTATTTCTGAATGTTTAGCAA